AAATATTAACATTTTTCTGAAGAATTTTATTAAAATGATCAAATTTATGCGGAAAACTTTATTAATTATGAAAATAATTCAATTCTCATAAATAATTTTATGAAAATTTTTTAAAGTAATTTAATTTCTATGAAGAATTTGATTAACATTTTTTTAAAATAATTAAAATGCTCCAAAAAATTTGATAAATTATGAAAATAATTGAAATTTTGTTGAGGATTTTATTAAAATTTTCAAAAATAATTGAACAAAGTAATTGAATTCTTTTGAGAATTTTTATTGTAATTGTATTAAAAATAATTGAATTCCTGCAGAGGAATTTTATTAAAGTTTTTGAAAACAATAAGTAATTATATAATTAATTAGTAAATTACTTAATAATTGCATTTTTTAATTCAAATTAATAATTAAATTTGAATCTTAATTTATTACAAAACTGAAGTTAATATTTGAAAATTAAATTTTTTTTTAAAATTTGTTTAATAATAAAAATTGAAATACCATGATTCGTGCGTAACATTTGCTAGTTTATAAATAATATAGAGACATAAAAAATAATAAAATAATAATAAATAAATTAGTATATTTAATAGTGTAAATTTCCTTCCGAAAGTTTTTTATAAAAATAATAGAATTTGATCCATGGAAGGTAAAAATAAGAACATAAATTTTTTTTTGTTTATTTAAATAAACAAAAAATATGACATAAATTTATGTTCTTATTTTTATCTTCCATGGATCAAATTCTGTTATTTTTATAAAAATAAATTAGTAGTTAATTAATAAGCAATTAGAAATTTTTTTTTCTCCTTGATAAATAAAATATTAAAAATGCGAATTAATTTCCTGCGGTGTTTTGAAGTAAAATTTTGCAGATTCAAAACTTATTCATAGAATTTGAAATGAAAGGGGGAAAGTGGGAAAGAGAAGGGTGGAAAGGGAGGGGAGGAAAATTTTAATTGATTAGTATTCAAGCGCGCGGGACTAACAATAAGAACAAGGGAATGAGAATGGGAAAACTTGGGGACCTCTTAATAACTACCAGCAAAAGCAGTATCGGACGTGGATAAACGACTTTATGTTGGTAATAAAGATTCTGCTGCGCCAACAAGCAAAGGATCATAACTTTTGTATATAGTATAAAGCAAAATAACTATACCACATCCGCGTAACTTTATTATAGCTTAGAGAGCGATTATATGGTTTTCCATTTTTAAATAACTAAATTTACGTCATTTTTATTAAATTTTTTCATTTTTTATATCCATTTTTTTATACTTATAATAAAATTGTACTTTTTCCATAGTTGGAAAATTTTTCATCCATTTTTCCCCTTTTCCCATAAAATGTTTAGTTCTTTAGTTTTAAACGTTTTGGAGACTAATTTTTTTTTGATGAATTTCTATTGTTTTTCGTTTCTCTCTTTTTTCGATGAGTAAAATTTTTTAATGTAATTTTTTTGTTCGTGTAAATTTTTGCTCTCTAAATAGATTTCAGCCACTAAAAGCTACTATTTCTGCTTTTTTTTAGAAGTTTTTTTCGCTAATAATTCGCTAATACTGGAAATCAAAAAACTGTTCTCAAAAATTATAATCCAATTCTTTAAAAAAATTCAATGATTTTCAAAAAATATTCGAAATTCAATTATTTTCAATATTCAATATTTTCATAAAATTTGGTAAAAAAATTCAATTATATAAAAAGAATTGATAGAATTCATCAAAAATTCAATTATTTTCATAAATAATATTTCCACAAAAATTAAATCAATTTAGAATAGCATTTTCAGAAGAAATTCGCAAAAATCTATTATTTAACAAAATCTTTATACAATTCTTCACCATAAGATTATGAATTATGAAGAATTCAATTATTTTAAAAAATAACGAATTTTTTCAAAGAAATTCAATTCTTTTTAAACATTTTAATAAAATTTTTCGCAATAATTCAATTATTTTCATAAATAATAAAATTCTTCTCAGGAATTCAATTATTTTTAAAAATTTTAATTCAATTATTTTCATAAATAATGAAATTCATTTCAGGATTTTAATTATTTTTAAAACAATTTTACAGGAATTTCTCAAAAAATGTAATTATTCTTAAAAATTTAATTTCAATTCCTCGAAAAAATCAATTATTTAAAAAAATGTTTTTTTTAAACTCTTTGGAAGAATCCAATTATTTACAAAAATTTCAGAATTTTTAACAGAAATTGAATTATTATCAAATATTTTAATAAAATTGTTCGTAAGAAATCAATTATTTTATATAAAATTTTTATTAAATTTTTTTGAAATTATTTAATTATTCTTTTAGAATTTAATAAAATTCTTCCCAAGAATTCAATTATGTCGATAAGTAATAAAATTATTCCCGAAAATTCAATTATTTTGAGGAATTTTATTAAAATTCTTTGCAAAATTCAATTATTTTCATAAATAATAATATTTATCACCAGAATTCAATTATTTTTTTCCCGAATTCATTCCTGAAAATTCAATTATTTTGCGTCATTTTAATAAAATTCTTTGCAAAATTCAATTATTTTTATAAATAACAATATTTATCACAAGAATTCAATTATTTTTATTCCTGAAATTATTCCCGAAAATTCAATTATTTTGAGGAATTTTATTAAAATTCTTTGCAAAATTCAATTATTTTCATAAATAATAATATTTATCACCAGAATTCAATTATTTTTTTTCCCGAATTCATTCCCAAAAATTCAATTATTTTGGGTCATTTTAATAAAATTCTTTGCAAAATTCAATTATTTTTATTCCCGAAATTATTCCCGAAAATTCAATTATTTTGAGGAATTTTATTAAAATTCTTTGCAAAATTCAATTATTTTCATAAATAATAATATTTATCACCAGAATTCAATTATTTTTTTTCCCGAATTCATTCCCGAAAATTCAATTATTTTGGGTCATTTTAATAAAATTCTTTGCAAAATTCAATTATTTTTATTCCCGAAATTATTCCCGAAAATTCAATTATTTTGAGGAATTTTAATAAAATTCTTTGCAAAATTCAATTATTTTCATAAATAATAATATTTATCACCAGAATTCAATTATTTTTTTTCCCGAAAATTCAATTATTTTGGGTCATTTTAATAAAATTCTTTGCAAAATTCAATTATTTTTATTCCCGAAATTATTCCCGAAAATTCAATTATTTTGAGGAATTTTAATAAAATTCTTTGCAAAATTCAATTATTATCATAAATAATAATATTTATCACCAGAATTCAATTATTTTTTTTCCCGAATTCATTCCCGAAAATTCAATTATTTTGGGTCATTTTAATAAAATTCTTTGCAAAATTCAATTATTTTCATAAATAACAATATTTATCACAAGAATTCAATTATTTTTAAAAGTAATAAATTTTTTCTTAGAAATTCAATTCTTTTAAAAAATTTTTATAAAATCGTTCGCAGGAATTCAATTATTTTTATAAATAATAAAATGCTTTTTAGGAATTCAATTATTTTTAAAAACTTTTCGCAATTCAATGATTTTTAATATTTACTATTTTCATAAAATTTCCAAACAGAGATCAATTAAACAAAAAAATTTGTTGTAAAAATCTTCGTAAGAATTCAATTCTTTTCATGAATAATAAAAATTTCTCAGGAATTTAATTATTTAAATTAGAATTTGCATAAAATTAGTCGAAAAAAATCAATTATTTAAAAATTCATATAAAATTCTTCACAAGAATTAAATTATTTTTATAAATATATTTAAATTCTTTCATAAATAATAAAATTCGTTGCAGGAATTCAATTTATTATCTAAATAAGAAAGTGGTAAATATTTCGTATGAAAATTAGAGAAAAGTGAGAAAAATAAGATATAGAATGGAATTTTGGTCAGTTTTATGAAGTTTCTAAAAACGAGGTTTTTTGGTCGTCAAGTTTTATTTTTCGATTGCTACTTTTTTGCTACTTTTTTTAGTTTGAAAGCTACTTTTTGCTACTGTTTTAAAATTAATTATCGTGTGCGAAGTCTGTTATAGTAAACATTTTTTCGAATTCAAATTTGTAATTAATTTTTTTTTCTGATGAATAAATTTTTGTACACAAATAAATTGGAGTGAAAATATAATAATTGTCAGTGAATGATGAGTAATTGGGAATATTTTTTAAAAGAATATAGAGGGAAAAATTCATATACTGCTTAAAGCTTTTGTCGCAGAGAAAAAGGATAAATAATGATGAAGGGAGGGGGGGAGGGATGACCCAATGCGGGAACTTTTTGGTTAAAGAAACTTTAGGATTGAAAAATATTTTGTGTGTGTCGGAGAGTTGGCTTTTTCTTTTACTCGTATTATCCTTTTTTCGTCGTCGTTGTCGTCTTTTTCTTTTCTTTCTTTCTTTTCGACTCAATGTTTGACAATACTTGGAATTCAATCGCTTGGACGGACTTGGTTTCCAAGTCAGTCTGTTCTCGTTTTCTTCGTCGCAAGACGACAGTGAGACGTACATTAAATCTGTGTATTTCGTCGTGAAGACCATTTCTTTTCTCCTTTACATTTTATATTTCTTTATGTATAGTTGCGAAGACATCTTTCAGCATTTTTCTTACATAAAATATAACATTCAATAATAAAATGTAACACATTGGTTGAAACTTTTTCCGTAATAGTCGGAATTTAAAATTTTATTTTTTAAAGTTGTGTTGAAGAGAGAATTTTTTATTTTAAGATTGAAAATTTTTTAATTATTTCATTTTATATTTTTTTTTGTTTACAGGGAGAATGAATAAATATTTTGTACTTTTACGCTTGCTTTTATAGTAAAAACTGAATTGTGGAATTATTTACAATTCGTTATTATTATCGGAGTAAATTTTATTATTTCGAAAGTAAATTTTAATAAAAATGGGTAAAATGTATTTTGATCGAATAGTGAAATCTAACTTTAATAGTGGTTAAAATTTGTAATTATTTTTAATTATTTAAACTGTTCTTTATTTTTCAGAAGCAACAGCGAAGGCCGAGTTTACTGGACAAATAGCAATTTTTGCCGAGGACCTGATTGGTGAATAATCCAAGGATCTCTTGCTGCTCTGCTGACTTCGAAAGTGGTGAGTAACATTTCCAGGGTTGCCACAGATCAGGAAAATGAGGGAAAAGACAGGGAAAATAAAATCGATCAGGAAAATGAGAAAAATGTTAGGGAATTTTTTCAAATGAACTGGAAAAATATCAAATTTTCAAATTAACTAGAAAACTTCAGGTTTTTTTTTAAATTTAAAGTCGAAAGAAGTTTTTGAGAATTTAAAAAACTTTGAATTCTTCTTAATTAAAAATGTTTAACATTTTTTTTTTGATTCACCTTAAAATGTTTTGAATGACAGTGAATTTGAAAACAGTACCCCGATTTTTCTTATTTCTGTAAATAATTGAATTTATTAAATAATTAAATTATTTTTAGAATAATTTTTTTCAAGATATTAATTACAATCAATTTAGAAAAGATTTTTGTTGAAAAAACTGTTGCAATTTTCCGAAAAAGTTAAATTTTTAAAAGTTTTAAACCATTTCTAAAAGGAAATATTTTTTGAATATAAATATTTTCAAAAATTATTCACTGAAATTAAAATCAAAAACATAAAAGAAGTATTTTGAATACTTATACATTTTTAAAGGGTAAATTGCATCTAAAATAATTTAATTTTGAAAGAGTTACAAATTAAATTTATTTGATTCTAAATATTTTTTTTATAATTGAACTCTTCTTGAATTTTTTTAGAGGTGAAGAAAAAATTTAATATTCTCTCTGGAAATCAGATTTTTGTGGCAACCTTGATTTTATTATATTAAAAACATTTTATTTTGTAAATTGTTTTGAAAAACAATTTATTGATTACTGATTATTATTATCATTATCATCGATCTCTCGTCTATTTTGTGATTCAATTTTGAAGAGAAAAATTCGAATAGTACAATATATAGAGGGGAATTGTTTTATTTGTGCGGTTCACGTTTGCCAGGCACCGTGACCGTAAAGTCATTTTGTTTCAAACCTTTTCTTCTTTTTTTTTTGTACATTCTACTTTATTCGCTTTTTTCTTTTTTCTCTCTTTTTTTTTCTTTTTTTCTTTCTTTCTTTCTTTCTGTGCCAACTGCGCTCGTTTGCCGCTTGTAATTAGCCGGATAACAAGTATGTGCAGTCACTGTAGTTGCAGAAAATGTTAGCCCGCGTATTACAATGTAGTCGAGGCGACGTCGAAACCTAGTGTCAGTGGCAAAAAGTTAAAGGAGAACCCCGAACGATTATTCCGGATTACCATAATCTTCTTTATCTCGATCTCAAATCTGCGCCAGTGACTCGGTATTAGTGTTCGTTACACGAAATCCAAATCGTTAAATCAAAAATAATTGTTTAAAATCAGAAATACAAAAAAAGCATTTATTTATATAAAATACTTTGCTAAACCGGGAATTTTTTCACCAAATTAACAAAATTTTATTATTTTAATTTGTTTTTAAAAAATCGCTTTTTATTTCCATTTTTATAGATATTTATACTGTGCTCTAAATTTGAATTAGTAAAAATTATTAATTTGATAGTAAAAAATCAGTCACTGATTCAAATATTAGTATGTAAATAAATTAAAAGAAAATTATCGAATAAATAGAAATTTTATAAGATTCAACTGAAAATAATTAAATTTGTTAAAGAATTTCATTAAAAACTTTTTAACAAATCGAATTTTCAAAGTATTTTAATTTAATAATTGATAAATAATTGAATTTTATAAAGAGTCAGATTCTAATGTATTCATGTTTCTTAGTGCGAAGATTAATAATTAAAATTCTTATTAGTTAATTTCAAAAAAGATGCACACTTAAAATGTTTTAATAAAATTGAATTTTCGCAAAGTTTTTTTTTGAAAATTCTGAAAAGTAAGATTTTTAAAATTTTTCAATTCTATTGTTTCAAGATAATTGAATTTTTATCAACAAATAATTGGAATTTTTTGAAATAATTGAAATTTCATAACATTCTATTAAAAATAATTAAATTCTTTTAAAGAATTTTATTTAAATTTTTTGAAAATAATCAAGGGAAGTTATTGTCACCGTAATTATAATTTTATTTTTAAAAATTTCTTCAATTATTTTCATAAATAGTAAAACTCATTGCAGAATTTCAATTATTTTTAATACAATTTTAGTCAAATTCCTCGAAAAATGTAATTATTCTTAAAAATTTTATTAAAATTCGTCGAAAGAATTCAATTATTTCTAGAAACTGTAAAAAAATTCTTCTCAAGAATTCAATTATTATTTCCATAAATAGCAAAATCCTTTAGATTTAATAAATTCTTTTGATTATTATTTTTAAAAAAATTCTTCACAAGAATTCAATTATTTTCATAAATTTCCATAAAATTCTAAAAAAACAATTCATTTATTTTTAAAAGTAATAAAATTCTTCGCAGAAATTCAATTATGTTTAAAAATTTTTTTAAATTCTCCTCGAAATTTCAATTATCTTTATAAATAATTAAATTGTTCTTCACAATTCAATTATTTTCAAAAATTTTAATAAAATTCTACGCAAACATTTAATTATTTTCATAAAAAATAATATTCTTTGGAAAGGATTCAATTATTTTTATAAATAGTAAAATTCTTTGCAGAAATTCAATTAGTATCAATATATTTTAATAAAATTGAATTAATCAAGTTTTTAATTATAATTATGAACAGTTATTTTGATTATTTTAAAAAATTGAAAAAATTCTTTGTTTAATTCAATAATTTTCCAAGTTTTTAATTAAAATTATTTAAAAAAATATTATTTTCAAAAAAATTTAAAGAAACTCGTCAAAAGAATTTAATTATTCATAAAAACTCTAATAAAAATTTTTGTAGCCAGTTGTAGATTTATTTATGTTTGAAATCAAATAAATTTAAATTTGATGAGAAAAAAAAATCGGAAAAAAACCGGGAACTTTGTTGAACGAAAATAGTAGACACCCTTATTTAATTAATTTTTGTATCAGCAATTTTGTTATAATTAATTTTTATTTAATTAATTCTTATATCATCAATTTTTATTTAATTAATTTTTGTATCAGCAATTTTGGTATCATCAATTTTTGTAAAATTAATTTTTACTCCAGCAATTCTTACATAATTAATTATTTTGATAATTAACTATTTATATAATTATCTATAGAAGTCGATGAAATATAAATTGAGGATATAAAACTGAAATGTATAAAAATTAATGATGTAAAAATTAATTGCAACTGATTTGTATGTCAACAATTTTTAAAAAATTAATTTTTACGTCACCAATTTTTAAATAATTAATTATTATATAATTCATTTTTCTATAATAATTATATAGAAATAATTATATGGTTCATGATATAAAAATTGATGATAGTTAAATTAATTATTTCAAAATTGAGGGAAACAAAAATTAATTGTATAAATATTAATTTAAAAATTATCTGTAATTAATTTTTCTATATAATTACACAAAAGTTGATGATATATAAAAATTGAGGATACAAAATTTAATTATACAAAAATTGTTGATATAAAAATTAATTGTAATTAATTTTTATATCGTCAATTTTCATGATATTAATTTTTACGTCATCAATTTTTAAATAATTAATTAATTCATTTTTCTATAATAATTATATAAAAGTTCATGATATGAAAATTGATGAGAAAACAAATTGTATAAAAATTGATGATACAAAAATTAATAATACAAAAATTAATTGAATAAAAATTGATGATACAAAACTTGATGGTATAAAAATTAATTAGAAGTTGATAATACAAAAATGAATTACATGAAAATGAATGGTACAAAAATAGATTGAAAATGATTAAAAGTTAAAATTTTAATATAGGACATAATAGAATTTACAGTATAAAATTAAAAAAATAAAATTTTACTAATATTATAAGTGTAAAATTTACAAGAATGTTAATAATAAATATAGAAATTATTAAATTTAAATTTGAAAAAATTTAACTGTCCAGGGGATGATCTGAAGCGATGATAAATTAAAGGTATTCAATTTTTACAGAGTAGAAATATAAAATATAAGGAGAGAAATGAAATTTTTTTTAATGATATGCTTCCACATTTGTTTCCTTTATCAAAAGTACTTTTTTCCATTTCCGGGAGTAAAGAGTAGCGTTACGATTGCAAGCTTTTTCCTCATGTTCGTTTCGATTGGAAATTATCTGATAGCCATCAGTAATTGAAGCCGGAATGAATTGAGCAACAGAAAATAAGATTGAAAAAAAAGAATTCTCTCTCTCTCTCTCTCTTCTCTTCTCTTCTTTTGATGAAATTGAATGGTTTTTTTTGTATGTGTGTGCGTGTGTTATATACACCAAGAATCTTTTTCTTTTGGGAGTTATTTTTATCGTTTATAAGTCCCGGAGTTAAGCGGCATTGTATATGTAGTAGTGGTAGTAGCAAGATTGTCATAGGTCCGATGAGACATAAATTTTTCTGAATATAAGAAAACTTGGCGACTTTTCTACGAGGTTGAAAGAGGCGAACCAAGCACTGGATAAACTTTAATCAACATTTTTGGAGTCCTTTGAAAATACAGTTATGGTTTATTACGAAATAACCCCAACTCAATTGCGAACAGTTATTTTTTTCTTGTTTTACGTTTATTGTACCTACTTGTTTTACAAGTTTCTTGTGGGTTTACTTTTTTATTGCTTTTTTCCGTTGGAAATTAATTTTGATGGAATTTTCCGTTTATTTGTAATTTAATATTTATGGGATAAATTTTTTGACTTTATTTTTATTTTATTGTTAATTAGATTGTTTTGAATTTAGTTCAGTTCATTGTTAATTAAAAGGGGTTTGATACAATTTTCGTTGCTGTTAATATTTGCGTGATTAATTCCATCAACAAATTTTTAATTAAATTGTTTTAAATTTAGTTAAGTAATTAATTGTTAATTAACGTAATTTGATCGAATTTTCACCACTCTCAATATTTATTTATGACTAATTCTTTCAACTAATTGTTAATTAAATTGTTTTACAATTATTTGTCAATGAAAGCGTTTCGATAGAGTT